AAGTATGAAATATAGTTAGTCCTTTAATAAGAACACAATATTATGAAACTACTGCAACTTGCGGTTGTGCACAGGCACACAATATAACGAAGAGGCGCGTGCCTCTAAGCCACATTTGATAATTATATAATTTGCTCAAGAATAGCTCCGTTGTATGTATACCTACTCGTAAGACTCGATATGTATGGATCGTCTCGAAAATAATAGAGTACAAATTACAATGATTATTCGTCTCTGTTCGGTATACCACGGTATTACGATGTGTCAAAAAAATTTTTTCAGGCCTTGGTTACATGTAAGGAATTGAACTGTTACCCTATTTTTTATTTTTCTAATTTGACTACAACATTACAGAGGTTTACACTCGGAGAAATCCTTTTAACTTCAGCTCCATAGTATTAAAGGTTCCTATTTAAATGACCGTGACAAACGGATAGATGAACAGACGAAAAAACGGACCGACTGACAGAGCAGTATCATAAGATTCGTTTTTGGTACGAAACCCTAAAATGCATACGATGTCTGCGGCAATGTTAATTTATAATAAACATAAAGACTCAAAAATTTTATAAATTTTAAAGTAAGATAAAGATAATTATTTTAAAATTGTAAATATAAGGTTCCGAAATTATATGTATTTATGAATAAATATAAATTAGCTTTCCTTCAAGACTTCGTACGTGATATTCGGAATGCAAATAGAGCATTTTCAACGGCTTTAAGCACGTTTCTATGTATATACAACTCATACACACACAGCTTCTTGATGTACTCGTAACATTAAAATAAAACATATTATGGATCTATCTAGTATTAAGTACAGAACTAATCTTCAAAAAAATAACTACGTTTTTGTGTATGTTAAATGTTAGTACCTAATGCTTTTACCATAGATCTATAAAGATAAATTAAATTGAAGTGTCCGTTTGTAATGTCAAAATAACAGCTTTTTACTAAATGCATATGAAATTATATACGGTATTTATAAGAAAAACACAATTTGTAAAAATTTTGTCTGTCTGTTTGTTTCGGCTAATCTCCGAAACGGCTATTCCGATTTTAACGGAACTTTCACTGGCAGGTAGTTGATGTTATAAGGAGTAACTTAGCTATTTTTTTTCAGTAAAAGAATTAGGGTTCCGTTCAAAAAAATTAAAAAGCACCTATGGACGATTCCGAGCGAAGCGAGGGTGAGTCGCTAGTCTTATAATAAGTACCTGGGCGACCGAGCTTCACTCGGAGTTCTTTTTTGTAATATCGTGTTTGTTAAATAAATAAACTAAAAACTCCAATAAATACAAAAAAAAACTATGATGCTTATGCCCAAGCTTTTGAAATTACCGACCATATTTTGCGTGGAATAATGAAAACTCAAAAACACGCGTTTTCCCAGACATATATGATAAGACTAATCTAGATCGATTTTTCGCCACCGAAAACCACCACATACCAAATTTCAGCGAAATCGTTAGTGCCGTTTCCAAGATCGCCGGTATAAATAAATAAATATATAAGAATTGCTCGTTTAAATATATTAAATATACTAGTAATTTGTACTTTTACATAATAAACAGTAATACATACTCCGTAATTCTTAGTACTTATATACTTACATAATTATTACGTAAACATAAATTACACAGACAATTTTAAAGATTATAATTTACATATTTATTAGGTAAAATATAAGTGATAAAAACTAATAACATAATGACTTACTCTTTCCTATCTTATCTTAATACATAATGTTAGTTTCAGAAAGAACAACGAAAGAACAAGTTTTTGATCAATTTCGCGATACGGGTGTGGGGCAGGAGCTGTGTAAGCTGTGTAAGGTGTGTTCTCTCTCTCGAAATCACTCGTCGAAATTTTGCTATTACATTTGATATGACACTTGTCCTAAATTGACTCCCAAGTTTCCAATTTATTTAGAAGTGCTCATAAAAGCACGTTGAAAATAGAATACTAAAGTTAAACTAATTCAAATTGCTGTCCGAGATTTAATATGCTTAATTAGTATAATACATGACTTTGCAGTAGATGAAGCAGGCGATGATGCATGTGCGTGTTTATCTGCATAGAGAATGGATGCGGATGCAGCGGACAGGGATGCAACAAATCCGCTTAGCACGGTCACTGGCGCCGCCTCCGCTGCTCGCTACCGACGCGAACAGCCTTAATGGATTTTTCATGTCGATTGCACTCTGCATAAGTGTGCGTGTGAGATTATCGAAAGGTTTCAATAGAATTTTTATCTTATAATTTTTTTTTCATGATATAAACTGTCTAAAATAATTTATTTTATTTGCCATAGATATCAGATAAGACAGCTGATGTATTAATCGTTGTTAAAAAAGATATGTTTTAGTAATACCAAAGATAATATTAGATTACGATAATAGTGTGTTTTAATGTAAATCTCATTTATTATAATAAATATATTAGATACCTAATTATATACATAAATATATTTTATTAAAACGACAGTTCTAAAACAAGAAAAGTAATTTGCGAACATTTTATAACTTATAATAAGGGAGTCGAGTTCGATGTAAGCGCAGCGTGATTTTACAAGCTGTCTACAGACCATTAATAATCATTAGGACTGATATCCTTTCGGCTTATTGTAGGCGACGTCAGCTTCAAAGCCGCATATTTTGACATAAATTTTATAATTATTGCAGAGAACACAATAGAAACATTGCTCATCAAAATACGTTGGTTTTCTTATAGAGTCAGTAGAGTACGAAGGTATTTGATTCATTCAAAATATAAAATATATATACATATAATAAAACAGAAACTTACCGAAACCGATGTGCGCGTTTCATCCAATATGTACTGAACCGATTTTAACTAAATTTTGTGTAGTGATAACTTATTACTCACATACATTTTACTACAGGAAAATCTGTCAATCTCACGGGAAAACACAATATCTGGTTCTATTGAGTCGTTCTTAGAAATTTACATGTCTAACGCTAGCTAAGCCTTAATAGATACATCAAAATAATGTATTAGAAAATTGTAGGTCTTAATAAGGCTTAAAGAAAAATCTGTAATAGCATAAGTCTTTCTCCACATCATAAAGTCTCAGGTGTGGTGGGGCACCCGGTAGGAACGAAGTTGCTTTCGCTGCCTGCCCATGACTCATATATTAAGTCATAATTATTGTCACGAGGACTAGGGTGTCATAAACATCAAGCAACGTATATTTACATATTCAAGTTCATCGAAAAAAGGCCTGCACATAGTGCACACGGATTTCTTACGAAATACATAATGAACACTTATGATCGCCCGGTACTTACGATGACGTCACATTATGGGATGCCCTTAGCTAATAATATCCGGTGACAATCACCATGTTCACTTCCGTTTAGACTTGATGTGTATAGAATAGTCACCGTGTGTGCAGTATTAGGGGACTATAACTCTCAAGGAATGTTCCGTCTAGCTCATTCGGCAAGTGTGCCGAGTATAACGTGCTATATGGAATTTCGTTCTAAAAATCGGTAGTTCAAGTGCAAATCAGACGCGCGCCACGATTCCGTAGTACCTAACTTTTTTTATTTACTTAATATGTTTGGTTACAGTAAAATAAAAATATACACCTACGCATCTACAATTTTCTTTTATCGAAAGCAGATATAAGTCTATATTTCATAGCTTTTTAAATATTTCAAAATTATATTCATTGTAAGCTTTTTGAATTCCATTTGCTCTCGTTTACATTATTTTCTTCGTTTTACTAATTTTTACCTAAAAGTACCAATAGTTTTTATGTAAAATACCTCTGACATCCGGTCAGACGGACATGACAATATCTGAGGTTAAGTTTTGCTTGACTATGGTACCTTTAAAGTCCCCGGGGGAGAAGCCAACTCCTACCGGGCGCGTCCCCAGGTGGCGGATAGGGGAATGCCACCCGCTTAGGGCGGCGGGTGGTACCGGAGAAATCCGGCGCGGACCAAATGGCTTGGATGGGGCCGCTCGTCTAGGCCTCGAGCCGAAGACGTTGCGGCCACCGGTGGTGGGACCGCTTGGTCCCACAACCGGATGATGGGTGCCGGTTGCAGGACTGTGGTCGCAGGCCCGCATCCGGCGGAGGAGTAGGCCGCGGCGGGAGAGGAGTGCCGGTATTTCGGTGCGCCGTTCTCCCTACCTTCCGCGGCCTAGACGGGGCCGCCACCGTTCGATGGCGGACGCGGTGGGGCTAGGGCAGGGGAAGAGGAGTGTCGGTGTTACGTTGCCGCTCTCCCTGTCCTCTGCAGCCGATTGGAGGTGGCCCACTTCGGTGGGCGGTGGTTAGGTTTAATGGGGCTGCTCCGGGTACCTCTCTGGCGTAGCAGAGTTGACTGTGGAGCAGCCCCATTGGTTTGGTGGTCTGCCTTTTTAGGCAGACCTGCCGCCGGGGCGCCGTAGTAGTTATGCGCAAGCGATCCTGCGGCGTCCCATTAAGGCGGAGGGGAGGGGAATGTCGGGTTTTAGTGGGTAGTACCGGCTCTTCTAGCCGGTGAGCCCCACATCACCATCTGGGGGATCAGGTGGTATGCGTAAATGCATTTCCCGACATAAAAAAAAAAAAAAAAAAATTATGGTACCATGAAAGTACCTAGTTTAATTATTCTTTTATAGATCAGTGAAATAACAAACTGACGAGCATTTTTTAAATAGATATTTTGAATGATAGATTTTATAGACTGAACCGTAACGAGTACATATTTCGTCCCGATACAATTTTGTTTCTATATATAGGAAAAACACGATAGCAATGTGAGGGCAAGTAACTAGTTTGAACATAAGTATAAATAATATGTTATCAACGTTTTCTGCTAATTCATGCGTCTGCAACACACTGTTTAAAATAATTGCACGCTTCTAATGTACTAATAGGTTCTACTTGATAATTACAGTTAGCACTTTGTAATTTGGACTTCGGATTTCGAGAAGGCATTCAGTATAAAACCTCTTTATAGTTCATTTGATAGCAAAACGCCATGCAATCGGCGGCGTTGTTAGTGTTTCTTGTAATGGTCACGTTTGGCCATGGAGCAAAAGAAAAACCGGTAAGAATTAATTATGATAAATAAGTCCTTTTAATAGGTGAATGTAATGACATTTGTCATTACCAAAATACTTAGATATAAATAAATAATTAAACAATGCTGTTAGGAATCGGCAACAAATACCTACTACATGTTCCTCTTACTTATTCTTACTTATTATCAAAATCGCTTAGTTAGATTGTGAGGCTCATAAGCTATTTATTTCTGATAGTTATCAGTTGTGCTGCTATAAAAATGTGCAAGATGAAACTAATTTAAATGTTCACCTCGAATTGAAATCGAACTGGTGATTCGATATATTCGATAATCGACAGTTAGTCCGATACACATATGTAGTGTTGCTCATGATGTTTATATTTTTACGAGTAGTTACCAACAAATAAGTAATGTGAAAGATAATAATAAAACTGTATGTATGTAAATGTATTAAATATATTGTAGTTTCAAATATTTGTGTGCTTACTACCGTAAGGGAAATTTGGGATTAAAATTCGCGAGTATTATATAATCGCTGCTAATTAGGGCATGCGTTCGATACTTTTTTTTTTTTATTAGAAATGGGCTCACTCTTGACCTTTATCTTAGCTCGAAGTCCATATTCTAATTTTGTAATGGTCGTTTTACGAGCAATATATAAATGTACGTAATTGTCAAAATTTTACAAAAAAAATGTACTTAATAGATAATGCATATTCAGATTTATGATAAATTAATTTTAAAGTAATATTATATTCCATTAGTATGATAATAAAATTTAATATTTCAAAATAAAGCATCGATTAGATTATGGACCTTCATTTTCTTTCATCAGAGCCATACTTCTCATTTCATTTCGAAAAACTTCGGTTACGTTTGTTACATCTTCACACGAAAAAGTCAATAATATATAATATAGAAGCTTGATCGAGTTACTTGAAATGCTTCACTTTAGCTGTTACTTCTAAGTTCTATGTAGACCGTAAAGGCTATATTATAACCAAGTATATCTCGATTTACTAGACGTATTGCCTGGCAGACACTGTTTCTGAAAGAAGTATCATACAGTCCAAATCCACGTAAAACATAATATATCTATGTATAATGTATATACATACATACAACAGCAACTGAAGTAGAAAAACATTTTAAGGACTCATTTTGCAGAACTTTGAAAATTTTGATAAATGCTAGAAATAGGCTCCCAAAATTTATTCTCACATTTGGCTGACAAGGTTTTTCATACAACTTAATGAAGATAAAACTTGGCAAAAAAAAAATTACGGCGAAAAATCAATTAATTTTATTATTGGCAGTGAAATAGTACTGCTGTTGAAAACTCCTCAGGGTGATAAAGCCAGTTTCACAAAGTCAATTTTTCTCTATCGTGGACGTGTCGTGTAGTTTATGAAACATAGCGAAGATCGGAGTTGATGGATGAGTGACGCTGCGGGAATGCACGCGACACCATTGCTCAATGTCGCGCCGACTCCGAATAAGTAACTGTGACGCCAAAGCGGCTCCTATACTACTTTTTCCATTTCCTTTAAACGCACTTGCTCGTACAGGAACGACGTTTCTTGAATGTTTTCATTATTTAATTTATTCTTATTTCAGTTTACGTGAATCACTAATTAACACTGCAAAATTGTCGTATATTTCTATTATAAATTTACAGTGTTAATGTTTTTCACTGACATAAAATATCATTAATATTATTATCTATCTTTATATATATAATTCTTCTGTGAGTGTGTATGTCACTGAACTTCTCTCAAACGACTGGACCGATTTTGATGAAATTTTTTGTGTGTGTTCAAGGGGATCTGGGAATGGTTTAGATTCACAATTTGAATAATAATTTTCATCAAAAAAATTATTAAAAAAAGTTTGAAATTTTCAAATTAAAGACATGTAGACAGGACAACGTCTGTCGGGTCCGCTAGTACATATAATAAAATAGTAACTGAAATGTGTACGTGATTTTTTTTTTAAACAATGACTAACGTATTGTGTACAGAATATAGATAGCAAAACAATAGTTACCTATTAAAAAAATTGTCTGTTTGTCTGTATGTCTGTTTGTGTGTTCGCGTTTTACGCAAAAAGTACTGGATCGATTTTGAGTTTATTTTGTGTAGTGGTAACTTGTTATTCTAACCAATATTTAGGATATTTTTTACTACAGGAAAATCTTTCATTCCCACCGAAGAATACAATAACTGGTTCTATCGAGTCATCCTTTGAAATTTGCATGTCCATCGCTGGCTAAACTTTAAAAGATACATTAAAACAATCTTCTAGAAAATTGTAGGTCCTAATAAAGCTTACAGAAAAATCTGTAATAGCATCAGTCTTTCTCTTAAGGTACACTCCCAATAACTATTCATATCTATTTAATACGTACCGAGGGACGCACCCGAGCGAAGCCAGAATAAGTTACTAGTTTGTACTAAAGAAAAATAAACTTATACATATTATATTACAAAAAATATAATATAGTCACTATTATACACAACACAAAAAGCTTTACAAATGTGTTGATAGCAGTGTAAAATGCTGTGTGAGGATCCATTTAAATGTAAAACATAGACTTATTGGCAGCTAAGAAATATTATAGTAAAAGCATATTATTATTATGATAAATTATGAAATAACTAGTTTAAGTGTGTATTCACATTTAACAAAATATAATGGAAACGATTCCTTCTTGTCTAAATTAATATTTAACGTGATGATACAACTTGATGTGTACTGGGTTGGTCCCGGTGGAATCTCGGCTTAGTAATTTTCTTTCTGTATGTCATTTTTAATATTGAAGTGACTTGTTTGACTCTTTGTGTTCACAAAGAGAAAGTATGGAGATTAGAAAAGGACTCTATAACGAAACTACTTCAATAATCTATACATACATATTACATAATAAAATTCTAACTGGAAGGAATGTGTACTTTTAATATTTTTTGGAAAATCTTATTGAAATAAATATAGGAAAGGATAGTATTTAGAATTTTTGTCTGTCTGTTTGTCTGGGAACGCGTTATGAGAAAAGCACTGGACCGATCTTGATGAAATTTGGTTTGATGATAGCTGGTTATCCGGGTCAACATATAGGATATTTTTTACTGCGGGAAAATATCTCATCTCTGAGAAACAAAATCGTTTTTATGTGTATTATACAAACAAACAACAAACTTACAAAGATTTATTTCTTTTAAAAGAATAACGTTGCTCTATTAAACCAAATGTACCTATGTTCATCACCTATAAAAAACCATGGACTTATTCGTATCGCATATAAATCAGTTTATTCATGATTTTATTTGCTTTCTTTTATTTATATTATTAATTAAAAATATACATATATTTTAGGTTAAGTCTAAAGTGTAGATTTTTTAGTCTCTCTAGCCCATGCTCTATGTTATTAAATTTGTTTTTATTTTTGTACTGTTAGTTCACTGTAGTGTAGTTTATCTACCATTTGTTTAGTAATACCATAAATAACATTCGACTACACGGTTATGGATTAATCGGGATGCCAATGATATTTTTCAACATCATTTGATGGAGGTTTGGAAAAAAGTTATAGTAGATTTATGAGCGATCCGTTCATTGTAAAACATTGATATAGGTTTATTTTACAAGCATTGTGGTAAATTAACGTTAACAGCCTACCTTTGATAATTTGTATTTTAAATCATAATAACGAAAAAGGCAGCAGTATCCCAGTGGTAGCGCGCTCGCTTGGGAAACCGAGTGAAGCGGGTTCAAATCCCGGGTCTCGCACCTCTGATATTTTCATGTGCGAATCATTTCTAGCATGTTTACCACTTGTCTTACGGTGAAGGAAAACATCGTGAGGAAACCTGCATGTCTGAGAAAACTTAGCAAGTTTTCAAAAGACATGTGAAGTCCGCCAACCCGCACTTGGCCAGCGTGGTGGACTATGACCTGATCCCCCTCGTATTGAAGGGAGGCCCGTGCCCAGCAGTGGGACTTTAAAATGGGCTGAATGCAAATAACGGAATAAGTTTTAATTAAAAACTGAAATTTTATGTACTTAAGTAAATAAATCAGTCTCATAAATAAATGGATACATTGATACTTTATTATTGTCAATTTTAATTAAGAACAAAATTAATTAATCGTTAATAATATAAGGCAACACTTAAGTAAAAAATATAGTTTAGACCTATCCTATTAAGTGTGTAATATATTAATAATTTTCTGTATTAAGATATTCTATTTTATAGATATTAAAAATATTTACGTTACGAAAATTACATTTGTCCAAAGTTGACATTTTACCTTCATATCCAGTCGTCCTTTGAAATATTTTTTGTATCCAACCGCGATCCATAAAAGCAACTGAAAATTGGTTTCAACGAACTAAATGTATTTTCAGGAACTTAGTGAGGAAATCAAAGAAATAATACAACATGTTCACAACGAGTGCGTCGGTAAGACTGGGGTGGCTGAGGGTGAGTAAAAGAAAAAATTATTTCCGTTACCTTTGTTCTCTCTTCGCTTGTATATGCCGCGATACGTTTGCCGCGGCTAAGCTTTTACAATGTCATAAAACTATCAGAAATGGCATTTTATTTCATATAATTCAGTTAACTTTGCACCTCGTGAAATTATTGCACAAATATGTATAATATATATTTATTATATAAATATGGAAGCTTTTATAGATAGATGCATGGAATACTTATAAGGAATCTGACCATGATAACATATGACCCCTTGCCTTCTAGAATTGTGCTAAACGCACAATTTTAATTTATTTATGACTAGATTCGATATAAATGTAATGGTTTTATACTACCTCAGTAAAAATAAGTGTAACCTGTGGTTACAATGCTGCTCTTTATCCCTATCCCTATATAGTATCCCACAAAAGTCCCACCTGTCCAGAACTTTCGAACTTTCAAAAGAACTTAGAACAGTTTATTTTTTAAGTGAAGAAATTAAAATTAAAAAAAAAACAAAAAGCTTAGTAGTATATAAAATAAATATTTTTAACATATTATTAAAAAACTACGCACAAAATATATCTTTTGTTTTTAACAGTCTTTATACTTACTTGCCCCCAGAGGACATAGCGAATTGCGAAAACGGCATATTTAAGGAGGACGTAAAATTGAAGTGCTACATGTTTTGCTTACTAGAAGAAGGGAGTCTCGTAAGTTATTTACTTATCCTTTGTTTGTTCATATCTTAAATTTATTTATCAAAATAGATTTTTATTACATATGAGATGGAATATTAAAAAGGTACATTTACAAATAGGGGTTTATTTCTAAAATAAAACGAATTAAGGGTATTGTCGAAATTCGAAAAATATTATAAATATTATAAATTAAAAAATTCTTATTATAAACAGTTGAAATTATAATAAAACTTTTAATTTTATTTAAGCAAATATTATTTTACATTTCGCTAAACAATATAATGCTAGTTGCTTACTTACATTTAGAAATTAGTGTAGGTATAGATAGTCGTCAATATGTTATAACGCCTAGTAATTGAAAAAATTATATTACACTAGCGGACCCGACAGACGTTGTCCTGTCTACACGTCTTTAATTTGAAAATTTCAAACTTTTTTTAATAATTTTTTTGATGAAAATTATTATTCAAATTGTGAATCTAAACCATTCCCAGATCCCCTTGAACACACACAAAAAAATTCATCAAAATCGGTCCAGTCGTTTGAGAGAAGTTCAGTGACATACACACTCACAGAAGAATTATATATATAAAGATATAGAATATTTTTTAAATATTCTATTACAGTGGTGTGTACAAAATTTTCATTATGATGTCGAAACATGGCGGAGTTCCAATCTGTGCCCTCTGGGATGTAACGTCATGGATGTTCTGTCAATTAGGCTATGCAATCAATACTGATTGTTACGGTACACGTGATATAAATATGTTTTGACTTCTATTATAATATAGTCAGTAATGACTAACCATCTCTTGGCTGGGGTGCGACCCAGTGGCCGAACTATAGTCTATGTCTTACTTCAGGTCATAATATAGGTATCTACGTACTAAATTTTATTAAAATCCATTCAGCCCTTTATATATATATATATATATATATATATAATATATATATATATATATATATATATATATTATATAACTAAAAACGTGGATGTTCCGGGGCTTTTGCCTATAATACTTTATAGGCACCTGCGCCACGAACGTCATAAAAATAATTACTTTTTCCATAATATGTCCTTTTCAACATTAGGTTGACGACGATGGTAACGTGGATTATGATATGATGATCAGTTTGATACCAGAACAGTACACCGATCGAGTCTCTAGGATGATAAACGGATGTAAACATCTAGGTAAATAATGTCCATTAGTACTTATATAGTAGTATGTAATGTAATTTGATATATAGAAAGAAATAGACCGATATACATTTTTTATTTAAACTACTTTGGCGAAAATTTGAGCTAAAATTTTCTGAAATTATCAAACTAAGAACTGTCTACTAAATTTCCACGAAAGGCATAATAAAAATAGGTGGATAGTTAAAACTAGTATATGGGTATTCTTGTAAGGAAAACGTATGATTAATAAAAACTTTTTAACAAAAAAATAAAAACCGACTTCAAACAAAAGCACTAAAAAGTAAAAAATAACTGATTGGTAGTTTTCATTTACTATACATACCTAATCAAATATTTTCGAAGTCGGCGTGCTTTGCTTTGTATGGGCTGGCACCGATTTCGAAAATATTTGATTAGGTATGTATTTAATAGGTAGACTTTAATTACTTAGCCAAAGCACACCGACTTCGAAAATATTTGATTAGGTATGTATAGTAAATGAAAACTACCAATCAGTTATTTTTTACTTTTTAGTGCTTTTGTTTGAAGTCGGTTTTTATTTTTTTGTTAAAAAGTTTTTATTTTTCCCTTTTTAGTGTAGACAGTAGTAGCAAAGTAAGGATTCTAACGTGTTAGGCTTGTCAAATCAAACAAAATAAGCCCAAACTCAAAGTATCTACTATTAGCCGTTGAAGAGTTCCACCTATCCACCTTCTGGCCTTGCCATCAGATCAGGTCAACAACACCGGACCACTATACTATCAACAGAAATAGAAATACTTGCAAAGTTTCAAGTCAATATGACAATTAGAAGTAGGTTAAATTCATCATTAGTTGTTTTTCCACCCTTAGGGGTGGTATTTTTTTTTTGAAATTTAAATGGGACCAATCTGGAAGTATACCCTTTCAAACGAAACCAAAATTGTCCAAATTGGTTAATAAATGACGGAGTTCTGAGGTAACAAACATAAAAAAAAAAAAAAAACATACAGTCGAATTGAGAACCTCCTCCTTTTTGAAGTCGGTTGAAAACATATTTCTCAATTTTCTATAAATCAGTAAAATTTGTTTTTAAGATTTTGATACCAGGCTTGGTAGCGTGAAAATAATAATAATAAAATTATCTATATATATTGTATAGGAGGTTGTTATTTTACTTATAAATTTATTTATTTATTTGTATTTCTTTAGGTAAGTTATTCATCCCGAATGGTGAAATTCTAAAATGTAGTATAACAAAAATGGCAGTGGCTATGGCGGCTTTTTTTTTAAAACGAGCTTCGTCATCATCATAAGAATCATCATCATAATACTTTCTTAGATTTACGCGAATATTTGACATTTTAAATAAAACTATCTTTTAAGATAGAAGATTAAAAGATAGTTTTATTTAAAATCATCATCATCATAATCATTTAAAATATTTTTTTACTGGATATTGAAATCATTATATAAAAAAAACGGGCCCTGAGGGTTCCGTTAAAATAAGTTTATAGCAAAATAAAAAATGTGGGATGTAACTGTTCGGATTTTTACGTTTTACTTGTGACATAAGACATTGCATCTTGCCAAATTTCATGATTTTAAGCCGTCGGGAAGTATCCGATACAAATAGACAGACGGACTACGAAGTGATTTTTCTTCTTTTGAGGTACGGAACCTTAAAAAATGTATTAGTTTTGGTAAATAAATTATTTTTTATGTTCTGATTGATTTACGTAGATACTCCTGGCAAAGATAAATGTCAAAGGGCGTTTGATGTTCATAAGTGCTCATACGCCGCAGATCCTGATGTAAGTTATGATATAAATAATAATACATATACCTAAAATAAAAAAAATATTAATATACATATAATAAACGAATCTTTTCGATATTTTTGTAAATATCATATTATATAAATTAAAATGAAACATAAGCAACTTACTTTGTTTACATAGTAGGTGCTAGCGGCTCACCCTCGCTTCGCTCGGGTTCGTCCCTAGGTACGTTTTAACGGTTAGTATGGAATAGATAGACTATATATTATATATATACATGGGGGTGAGTTGTATTATAACGTGTTTTCACGTGGGAATTAGATAATCTCCCACGGTAAAAAGTAGCCTAGGTCACACTCCAGCCCTCCAACCATCTCCGCACAAAAATCACGTCAATCAATCGCTCTGTTTTGACGGAAAAAAAAGAAAAACAAACGAACGAACAAACACTTTAACATATATAATATTAGTATGGATTTTCCTTGTAGATGTCTGCCATCGAAAACCTGAATAATGGTATCAGTGGAAAATCATTACAATAGGTTATAATCATGTTTCTTGTAGTACCTGATGAAAATTAACTTTATTGAATTTTTACAAGCACTTTTGAATCATTAATTATTGTCTGCTGTAAAGTAGCAACTAAAATATTTGATAGTCTAGTGAAATTAATAGATAATTTTAAATATAAAACGAGTGAATATTACAGATCTACTAATTTGTTGGGTAGCATAAAGTCAGGTTAAATTAAATAGCATGAGCCATGTTCAATTGTTCATGCCAGCTTAACACAAATTTTATTTATACTTGGGAGTGTAAATAGATTTTTGGGAACAAAGTATTGGTTAGAAGTATCCATTGTCTGACTATAAAAGTGCGAATTTTTATTTTTGTGAATAAAATGACTATTTTTATGATCATGAATTAATAATAATATTTGTTTTTTTTTTCAGTTTTATTTCTTATTTTAGTTTTTGAGGATGGCTGACCTTGGGAGAAGTTTTTTTATAAAATACAGGGCTTATTCTCACATTCATGTTTTTTTATTAAACAACTAGCACCTTACTCTCGCTTCGCTTAGCTGCGTCTCTAAGCAACGAAGTAACAAACGTCTAAAGATTTTTTTAAGCTAGTAACTTTCGCAGGCTTATACATACAGAATTACCACCAGAGTTTCATCACAATCGTATCAATGGTTTAGGAGCGCATAGAGGACAAACATACGAACATTCATTTTTATTTATATAGAAGATAATATAACTTAAATATTGACTAGCTTGTAAAACATTGCTTTAGTTATACTTTTTAGATAATATTGATGATAATAACAATTTGTTATTTCAATTATTTTGTTAATTCATTTTGTACGAGCTTAATTTAGTACTAATCCTTTTCGATTTTTTGTTAACACTTTTACTTAGATAATGAATAGACATTTTAACATTTATTTAATTTCATGAGATTTTGCGTTCAGATATTAGATAACCTTACTTTCCGGTACGGAGAAAATACTTGTAAATAACGACGTAATTTGGCGTTAGCCGCGGGCTTTCGGTTCTTCTATTTTTTATGAAATCTTTTTCAAGTTTATTCAGATTTTGAAAGAAGTATAATGCCACGGAATTAATTTGCTTCACAAGAAATAATTTCTTAAAGAAAAAATAAATGAGTTCGAATCTTGTAAAACGTGTAATTGTGATCTTTAGTGGATTGAAATTCAAAAGAATTCTCTCGTTAAGAGCTAATTTTGAAAACGGAATTTTTCATAATGCAAAGTACTTATAAAGTCATAAGCAACCGTATTTAAATTTGTGGCCAAAACTCGAGGGACGAAATATATTTTTTGCTGTCTTGACTCATTTCAATCATTTATTTCAATTGTTGCTGTGGTCCCAATTAATCTCTAACTAAATTAAATGGATTTTTATTAAATTAGATAGATCATATCAAAGCGGAAATACCTTCAATTCTTTATCTTTATATATATATAATTCTTCTGTGAGTGTGTATGTCACTGAACTTCTCTCAAACGACTGGACCGATTTTGATGAAATTTTTTGTGTGTGTTCAAGGGGATCTGGGAATGGTTTAGATTCACAATTTGAATAATAATTTTCATCAAAATGGTCCAGAATGTTTTAGCTTATTAAAAAAACTTTGAAATTTTCAAATTAAAGACGTGTAGACAGGACAACGTCTGTCGGGTCCGCTAGTCCTATATATTTAACCGTTAGGTACTATTGTTTGTATACTGTTGTTTGGTTATAATAAAAATGATAAATGAATTCAACATGTTTTGTGTTAATAAAAATGTAATTGAGAGATATATAATAATAAATAAAATATATAATATAAATAAAAATTGACACGACTAACATGATACAAATTATAATAATAGAGTAGGTTATTTAACAGCAAAACGACATTCAAAAGACGGAAAAACCGAGGGTCGGAACATCTGCACATAAAGAGGCAATTTGGAGATTGCCGGGGGCGTGCCACCGCCACAGAGAATTGTACTCAAATGTATTCAAAATTAAAAAACGAAGAAAATATTTCTAGGAAATTCATTGCGGTAAAATAAACATCAGTGGCTTGTTACTGTGGACAGAGTAGCGTACGCCGCCAAGCGACGCAGGGTTGACGCTACGTCGCACAACAGATATCCGCTCTAAACTCTCTTTTAAACACAGAAGATTATGATGAAAACAAAATATGAATGGGACATTTCTTTCGTAATAAGCAGTGACTGCGATTTTTATACTTGAGCAGGTTTTGCAAAATTTATTGTACATATAAATAATAATAAATAATAAAAATAAAAATAGTTTTTATTTCTTAATCATTTTTTTACATTTTGTGTTCGAGTCCTCTCAGTAAGTAATCCGAGGATACTTGTGTTGGGAATGGCCCGCTTCTTCCCATATGCATACTCTATGATTAAGTTAAACTATATATAGGATAGTTACATGATTTAAGTTATTTAAAGCAAAGAAAATTTTATAAAATTACAATATTAACAACTGAAGGTTGTTATTGCCTGTACAATTTCACTAATTTTAATTTATATACCATTATTTGCTAATTTAAGAGGATTTAGATATGGTTTGAATTGTCTTTTCAAAATTTAAACTAGAATTTCCTATTTTGGCATAGTACTGATAAAATGAAATTGTTAAATGGCATTTATCATAACGATGAAATAGGTTGAATTGGGTGGTGTAGAAGAGCCAGGATAGTGCAGTGGGTAAAGGCTGCGGATGTCGCAATTTGGCGCGGAGCCGCCGTAATGACGGCTGGACGGCGAGCGACGAGCGCCGCGGACGTACGTGCGCCGGCTAAACGAATCCACCGGTGCCTTCGTTTCAATAATCATTTTATCAATAGAGCTGTGCCAGCGTTCTGCTGCGAATTTTACGAGCTTTATTTTTAGGTGAATTTTATTCGGGTGATGCGTTAAACAAAATTCGTAACTTATCATGAGTACTTTATACCATATTTAAGTGTATTTCTTAGTTTAAAGGATGAAGTCGGAGTAATATTTTTTTATAAACCATATACGAGTGTAACACTTTTGTAATATCACTTTTTGTTCACTTTTTTTGCTTTTTAAACAAATAAGTTAATATCAGAGTTATGTTTATATCTCTACATACAATTCTATTGAGTCAATTTAACATAACACCTAAAATTTCCCTTTCTCAATATGTGAGACATAATTTATATGTAAATACAAGGGGTTCTTCGGAAGCAACGAAGAGCACTTCGGCGATCGGTGGAACCAGTGGACTTTACTTAAATTATATACTATTATTGCCTGATTCAATTTATTGGACATAGATTTGGGAAATTGGATTTTAATCAATAAAATCTCTAATATCAATTTGCCTTTGCAAGTTACATTTGATGGGCTCGCTTATTAAATAAAAATTTAATGTTCAAAAAATATAGTATTTTTTAAGATAGAAATGTTACCCAGCATAAGTAGGTAATAAAAAAATTAATAGATGATTGATTAGTGTTATAGAAGTCTATTACGCGTGGACGAGGAATACTTAGTAGGAATCGCGAGTTATGCTGAACTATATAGACTTGTTTCATACGGCATAAGGCATAAAGCATAAGGCAAAGTGGGGGACACAAGACTGATGTCAGCGCTCACTGTGGACAAGACAGAACTAGGGATGGCTGTTTATTACTTAATTTTTACCTTTTATTAAAGTTTGTGGTTGAAAAATAATGTTATGGGTAATAGATTGAAAGCCGGTTCTCAACACGAATTCCATTTTTTATCTGTAAAATTAAATAAAGACAGTAAAAGTTTAAAACACCTTCGTAAATATATAATTATGTTAAATAGAGTTATTTTTTATTTCAGATGTATATGTTTAATATTAATGTAGATTTTTCATTCAATATTAATTTAACAATAAACATCTTGACAGATTTTTAACACCTTTTTTTTATTTTTTAACGTTGGGAAATGCATTTATGCATGAGGTGTGGGACTCACTGACAAAGCCAGTACTACCCACTAAAACCCAACAAAACCTTCCCCCGTCTTAATCGGGCGTCGCAGGATCGCTTACGCATTCAACTACGACGCCCCGACGGCAGGTCTGCTGAAGCAGACCACAACGACCATGGGGTCGCTCCAAGGTCCACTCTGCTATCAGAGAAGTGCCAGGAGTAACCCGCATGGTACACTGCCCGCCGAAGAAGGCCGCCTCCCACCGCCCACCGAAGTGGGCCACCTCCCTGTGCGTTTCTTGGCTTCTCGCCCGGCTGAATTGCCGGGCACTACTGAACCCCCCACCACCACAAGGTGAACGCACGTTGGGGGGGACAGATTTTAACACTGCTTAACCTTGCACTTGAGATTTGTTTTAGTTATTGTGTTTATTATACCTACTTTTGTCAGCTGACCCAGGGGTTTTTTAATTTAATGTACACTCTGTGTAATATAACATATTTTACATGGTAAAAATATTTTGTTTTAAGTTTATTCAATTTTTTATATAATTAATTGATATCTAATACATAATTATAAAATATCTCAAAAGAACCACCGTAAGTTGTATCAATGGGTGGCGCTGGGGTCACGCACCCAGCGAATACAGAACTCTATCTCTGCTAGTCAAAGAGGCACTTAAGAAGTCAACTAAATCGACTTTTATAAATTGGCCTATTTAAATAATAAAAGCCTCCTCCTGTGAGTGCATTTCTGTTTACTCTCCAAATACTAAACAGATTTTGCTATACATACTTTGTTTTACTATTAGATTTTTTTTTATTTTATTGCTTCAAAGGCATGCACACGATGACTTTTCAACGCGTCGATAAAGCGCGCCTATCGATAAGAACATAAACAAATAAATAAATCTGCATTCTTTAAGTTATAATAATAACAAGTTTTTAATTTTGTGTAAAGTGCTCTTAAAAAAGTAAGTTGTCGTTGAATTAAATAATAATGTAACTTGACAGTTAATTTAAATTTTGAATAAAAAAAATTGAGAGAGCTTTTTCAGTTATACGAAAAAAATGGCAGAAAGTAGATTCCAATTTTTTTATACATTGTACTTTGTTTTTAAATATTTTTTAAATATGTTGGGACATTAACACACAGCGCCATCTAGTTCCATGGTAAGCTACGAGGCTTGTGTTATGGATACCAGATAGTTGATATACTACACATATATAACTTTAAATACATACATATTATAAATAACCCATGACTGGAGTACAAACATTCGTCATCACACAAATGAATGCCCCCAGCGGGACTCGAACCCGCGACCGCTGGCACAGCAAGTAGGGTCACTACAATCTGAGCCAAGCGTGTCGTCTTTGTATTATAAAAGAATACTGATATCAATTACAATGCAAATATAAATCAACGACAGAGAATGGAGGGCAAGTATTCTAGTTAGTATTAAGATTGTATATCCTGATAGACAATACATATTAAGATTATTATGACATTGGTGTAATCTGTTCAGTAACGTAACAATTTATTGGTGTGGAGCGCGCTCGTGAAACAAGCCAATTACCTAAATAAATTGAGTTAGCCCCCTGCGCCGGCGAGCCGTCACCCGCGTCATAGTTGCTTCAAAGGAAGCGCGGTGTGCTTCGGAAAGGTGTTTGTTTCGGAGGCGTGCCACCAAATGAATATTGATGACTTCATGGGGCCGGAGATGATTTGCTGAAAAATTAGCTTCTTTTCATCGTTTTATTGCCGCGTTTCGAGCCGGCGTGATGAAGACTAATATAGGCGTTAATTTAACTTAGTTATTTACGATAAACGATCATTTTATCACCTTCATTATGTTTTATTTTAATATTAGGTATTGAAAAAGATGTATTGTAAATACTTTAGTATACTTTAGTAAATGTATTTATTTAAATTACCCTTGTTTGCAATTTGAGTTATATGATAAACTTTTGGTTGGGGACACATCATGGACGTGTGTCATCTTGGCGGGTTTTCTGACCGGAAGACAATTTATATGCAAATTGAACACAAGATACAAGCCAGTGATATGCCGCGTGGCGCGCGCCGGGTGCGGCTCCGACCTCGGCAGTATACCGCGTCTGTCTTACTTGTATATTAACAGTTTTAAAATTAGTTTCACTATCCAATATAATATTATTTGCACCAACCAATTTTGTAGTTCCCAGTATTATTTGTTTCTGTTCTAGATATGATATAATCGGTTTGAAAATAAACACCCCGTCCCAATTTAATTAGCAAATGAGGTGTTCGTTATAAAATTCCCATTGTAACTATTTTTATATATGTAAAATGTTTTATGTATTTCTTTGTAATAAAATATTTTGAATATATACCTACTAAAATTTTGTGAGGCAGTGGTAGCCTAGTGGTAATGCGCTCGCTTGGGAAACCCAGTGAAGAGGGTTCAAATCTTGGGTCTCGCACCACTGATATTTTCATGTGCGAATCATTTCTAACATGATTACTTACCACTTGCCGTACGGTGAAGGAAAACATCGTGAGGAGAAATGCGTGTCTGAGAGAACTTAGTAAGTTTTCGACAGACATGTGTAGTCCGCCAACCCGCATTTGGCCAGCGTGGTAGACTATGACCTGATCTGTATCGATATGTGATTAACTGAATATAATGGTAATTGCCACCATCGTCCATATCCAAACTAACAGCATCCATAGGAAGATTATTAATAATCATTTATTAACCGCTTTAACTTATTTGGATATCTAACCTACATGATACAACAGAGAAGTTGTGTCAGTTCCCACATGACGTGTTCTTGCTTTTGATCGTCCACTATAAATAAATAAACGTATTAATATACTTGTCTATATATATATACTTGTCTATATCATACGCCTACGGTTATTTGAATTTGAATATTTTCATATAGCTTAAGTATTTATAGATGAATAAATAATGAAATTAATTTAATATGCCAGTGTAAAACATTTTAAGGATTTGTTACGGATAAACGGGGGAGTTTTGAAAGAAAAGGCTCGACATAATTAATATTTCTTTCATATTCTTAGAATGGGATGGGAATATTTACTTTTATTTCAAGCTCATTTCGTCGCAGTAAACTTAAGTGTGTTTATTTAAATTTTCCTTTACTGTGTTCGCTTTAGGTGTACCTACCTAGGTTAGCGACTGCCTCGCGGCGTCTCAGAAATTACCTGGCTCTTATTTAATTCATTTCTTGTTCTCTTCAACATCCTAAAGACTCTTAACATTTTTGCGTTAACTTAATATTATTAGAAAACTATTTTAATATCTATACACAATGAAATTATAATAGGTTATATTGAAATCTTTCTCTTTCGACTTCTTCAGCATTGGGTAGTCCACCCATAGGGATATACATTTTTAATTTTCTTGTACGCGGTAAATTTTAGTTTTTCTGATCATTTAGCCGGTGGTCCGCTAACACTATCTTGGGCATTATAGGTGCCTACTCCAAAACAGATTTACTTTATCGGTTACCATGTGATAACCGATGTTGATGTAGAATAAACAATGTCAAATTCGGTATCAAAAGTTGACACCGAGCATTTTGTGCGTCCAGTTTTTTTAAGCAATATTTTGTTCCAGGTATAAGCTTATGTTATAGGTTATTTTTTAAGCTTTTTGAAATATAGAACCTTATCTACATACCGAGGGCAGTTACATTTAAGCGTGAGTAACTTTGGTGGTATCACGTTTCTCAACTGCATTTCTTGTTGATTTGAGCTGAGGTTTGAACACTGTTTTAGCTGAATAGTCACTATCGCCAAGTTAGCCAAGCAGTAATTAATATATCATCTATTCAAAGAATGCTTTACGGTGCTTATA